TTGCATACGAAGGTGCAGACTCCCCTCCCTTCAGTATCCCCTATTACAGGCCGGAATCCAGGCAACGTTGCTTGCGGTGAAAGGGTTTCTTGTAATAATACAATATGAGGCTTTTGTTGGCTGCTCCTGATATACTGCTGTAGGGCTGCCTTCTTTTTAAGGTAACCTCTACAGTTCCATTGCCAGATACGAAATTCTTCACGTAGCGCTGCCATCATGGTTATTACATGGGCGGCCAGAGCCTAATGCTGCACCTGTCGACAGGTTTGGTACCACTAGTATTAGTGGCCGAAGAGGTGAGTTTGGTGCATGAGGAGGCCTTGCTGTATTGTGCATATATGCTTCGACCTTTGTAATGCGCAAAGTCATATGCTCTTCCAGTGCTGCCACGCTTGACTGTAGCCTACCCATCTGCTCGCTAAGATTAGCTACTACTTTGCTGAGCGTGTCAAGGACCTCCTTCATATCTGACATGCTCGTTTGGTTGGCTTCCACGTGTTCTGCCATGACTGCCCTCTTTTTTATGGTTCTCGATTCCCCCACGTTTTCAGCCACAGGGACATCGACTGGCTGAGGCATTGGCTGTGAAGACTGCGCGCTGGTTAGCTTGGTGAGAAGAATTTTAATTTCCTTTAACTCAGCTGATAGCCTCTCATTCGATTTTGTAAGTCTCGCGTTTTCTTGCTCTAGCTATGCACATCTATCATGCTCTGGCAGCTTACCTGTCATCACCTCTTCCGCGCCGTTGCGCACTCGCTCAGCCCAGCTGCCTTTCGATGCAACTGCAGGCGTCCTCCTCGGGTGTGAAGCCGTGATGTCGAAATGAACGCCAGGCAGCTGGCCATTCGGGTGCCGCCCAGGCTGATCCCGACCCTGATGGTGACCTTGAGAACTCGAGCGCCCCCGTGATTGGGAGCGGGCCTTGGGTCTAGAACCTCTTCTGGAACGCGACCTCCCCCTGGAGTGGGGCCGCCTTTGCTGTTCTTGAGTAGTCTGGATGCTCTGGGTCCCGTAGGCTGGAATAAGCTGCTTGTCGTTGGTGTCTGGACTCGATGTGATTGATGCGTCCCGGGCTTCTGCAGCTGCTCGCGATCTTTCCCAACGTCTGCGTCTGACGACGTATGGCACTAAGAACCTGTTCTTGCACTCTTTGTCTGCCGTGGGATGGTGACCGTCGCACAGCCTGCATCTTGGATTGCACTGGTGCAGGCTATCTGGGTTCTTGATCTCGCAGCCTGTGCAGATGGTTTCAGCTGGGTTCGGACAGACGTCAGACCAATGTCCCAGCTTTCCACAGACGTAACATATATCGATGTTCTTGCGGTAAAGGGAGCACTGCAAAAGTGAAGGTCCATATCTCACGAATCTGGGCACCTTGTGTCCTTCGAACGCTATGATGACTGTCCCGGTGTCCTTGATTCTCTTGGCCTGCAGCGCGAGCGGGTTGTTCGCGTTCACAATCTTTCGGGTCAAAATGTCCTGAGTATCGCTTACGGGGATCCCGCGAATCACTCCTTTACAAGTATCGTGGGGTGCCGTGGCGTACGCGCTAACCTCGAAAACTTTGCCTACAATGTCGATTTGCTTGACCTTGATGTATCTTGAAGCTCTGTCTTGGTCCGGAGTGCTTGCCACCATAATGTTCTGCTGCAAGTTGGAACAGATGATGTCCTGCATGGCCTCCTCCTCTTTGATGCCGGCCGCCAGTACTATCGCGTCTGCCACGGCTCCAGTGCCAATTCTCGAGATATTTAATCCTCCACGTGGTCGTAGCACAATCTTGCTGAAGTCCTTAGGTAGTGGCGGCATGCGTCCAGCTCGCACGATTGTATGCTTGGTGTCATACCCACTACGACTTGCTCGAGCGTCTCCCGCAACGCCAGCCTTGGTCGAACCCTTGGCAGCTGGAACGCTAACCGCGGCTTGCTTATTCCTTGAGCGTCTCGTTTCGGCTTCCTTCCAACCCATGTCTTCCGTGCAATCCTCTGGAGAGATGTCCTCTCCATCTACTTGGTATTCCATTCTCAGTTGCAGGTCCTGGAACGCGCAGAGCGTTGAGTCACGCCGGCGCCGGGTCGGCGCATCGGCGACAATCGCCTCCCTGGTTAGGCTTAAATCCCCCGGTGGCTTTGCCGTGTGAAAATGTCCCCAAAACGGTTTAAAAGTCCACTCACCAGCACAAAGGTGGTATCTGCTGATTTCTTGAGAACTTAGGCACACGATGGGACTGAAAACTCAGCGACAAAGTCTTGAATACTACAGGAAAGCATTCTTGAAAGCAGGAGCCGATCTTCGCGCGTCCGCACTGGTCGGCACCTAGAGCGTCTCAGGTAGCTCGTATAAGGGCGTTAAATTACCAACGCTTTGGCGGGATAGCCGGTCACAGTAGGAAATGTTGTTTCATGGGTGACTGTAGCATTTATTGACTACTACTACTAATACTACTACTACTACTACTACTACTACTAATAATAATAATAATAATAATAATAATAATAATATGAAGAAGAAGAACACAAAGAAATTCTATACTAATACAACTACTACTACTAAAACAATAATGATAAGGAGTTCTATATCTGCGGCCATCAAGTACTCCGAAAACCTCAGCCAACATCCTCAGCGTACTTCTCCGTACACTGCTGAAAGAAGGCGCCTGCTTGAGATCTTCACTTCGACATGTCTTGTCCGATGTTGTTTAATTTCATGCCTACAAATTCTATAACTTCATCAGTCCACCCAACGGACTGCTGTCCTCGGCTTCGTTTTCTGTCACTTCATCGCTCTGACTTGACGCAGCCTGACTGCAGCTTGATTTTTTATTTATTTTTTCTCATCGCCTAGAGTATGTAATAACTTCATTTGCTGTCCAATTCACTCCGCCGCCTTCCTGTCACGAAGTGTTGGGCCTTTCATTTCTTGCTCTAAATGAAGAACCGAAAATAGACCTATTAAATCACCGAGGGCGCGACGAGTTCAGGAGAAAGATGTTCTTTGGTGTTTGTAAGAGAATTTTTCTGTTTGTCTCTTTTTTTTATATTGGCACGCCTTAGCTACTCATAATCACATTTAGTTATTTGTTTTGCCGCAGCTTCGAAGGCTTCTTTTTCGATAGCGTGTTATTTTACAAACCCGAAACGTCATCTTTTCTGCGTACTTATTTCTATTTTTCTTTAATTTGAAGTATGTTTACTGGGTTGAAGCATTTCAGTTCATCCCTTCACTTCGTCTTGACTCATGCAGAACAAAATATTGTAAATAAAGTGTCTAGATGCAATATTGGATTTAGCGTTTCAAAGCAACGCGCGTGATACGAGATGCACCAGCATGACATGATTCGATAAAAGTATCAGCATGTGCGATTTCTCTAGCTCTGAAAAAACGTGGTATTACCCGCAGGTCACGGGATCGAATCCCGGCTGCGACGACTGAATTTTCGATGGAAGCGAAAATGCTGTAGGCCCATGTGCGCTTGGGATTTGCAGGTGGCTGTGATTTCGGCAATGAAGGCCAAACTGATTCATCTGCAACAGTGCTGCTCGTTGGTTTGTTGACCGCGCTGGCCGCCTTCGGTCTGGGAAGCAAGGGCGGTGGAAGAGAAGGGTGGTGGAGTGGTGCTTTTGATGCAGCGTCTGCGGCATTTTTTGATGAACTGCGGCGACGATGACGCCTCTTTCGGATGGTCCTGGCAGCCTCTCGATGCGACGAATTGTCTCTGACCATTTGTTTCAATACCGCTATTTCTCTTTGGATTTTGGGGCATTCTTTTGACGAAGCTGCATGTGACCCAAGACAATTCGAGCATTTGAGGGTAGTTGCTTCGCAGTCATCTGCAGAATGGGCTTCCGCGCAACGAGGACACACCGTCCTATTTTCGCATACGCTTCTCACGTGACCCATCTTCATGCACTTATAACACTGTAAGGGCTTCGGTATGAAAGGTCGCACTGAATGCCGAAAATGGCCCACCTTTACGTGTGAAGGAAGAGAGTCGTTCTTGAACATGATCTTCAAGCAGCGTGAGTTTCCCAAAAGGACAACTTTTGCGATGACGCTGGCTTCATTTGCCGGTTTCACCAGAATATCGAAGTCGGAGCTGGGAATGGCAGTATCCACATCGTAGATGACCCCGGTGACGACGTTAGAGCTCACAGGAATGTGGGAGCGAACCTTCATTCCCCCCAACTCGTTAACGTTGCGCAGTACATTAAGTGCCGCAGCATGCAAAACGTCGATGGCCAATACGTTCTTACGCGTGTTCACTCTGATGTCTGTAATCTCGTTTGGCACGAGTCGTTCCAGCATCACCGAAACAGATTGCCTGTTGAGGCGCTTCATGTTACCGTCCGGTACCTCAGGGACAAAAATAGATAGTGTTTGTCACGGGTCTCCTTGGCACTCTGTCGTTCAACGTACTCGATGACGAAGATGTTCTGACGTTCCGCCTCTTCGCTTTACGGCTCAGCACCAGCTTAAAATCGTCGTTGTCAGAAGGCTCTTCGCTGCTCATTGAGTAAACAAGAGTGCCCTCGCTGTCGTAGTCGCGGTAGAGTCCCGTACGCTTCCTGGATGCGGCCACCGCCGACGCCGCCGTAACTGGCGAACGTCCGTGGGGGTCCACGTCCATCACCGACGGACACGGATGTGATATTCGCGAAGTTTACTTAAAATTAGGTGAAAAAAGAGAGCACCTACTGAAACTGCGATCTGCTAAGCTGAACTAAAGAAAAAACTGTGCAGCACTTACGCCGGTCTGCACGGTACATCTTCCATGATGTGGTCATATCTATGGCGTACCATTAGTCACAAGCGGGGTGCACTTTCCTGACAGGGTTGCTGGAATCTCGTGACAGTGCAAAGCAGGAATGTGACTGGTGAAACTACACATGCCTCTTTTACAGCATTCATCATGATCTACTGGACATTTTAAGGAAGCCCAAAATATACTATATTTGTCGTTATTACAATGGGCAACGTATGTACCCATATTAATAGCTTACCTTTCCGCCTAAATGGATCTGGAACAACACCATGGACTGCGTAAAACAAAAAAGAGTAAACAATTTGTTCGCTGATGAGCACATTCATGTAAGGTCAAGTAGTAAGATTTCCACCGTAGGTACCGGTTAGATACGAAGGAAAGAAACTATCTTAAGAAATCGACTAACAAGCGTAACAATATTTTAAGATGTCCTCACGTCAGCAATCTCAGCAAAAAATTGCCGCCATATCCACGAAGTGAATGATGATGAGTGGGCGAAGCTCCGGAGGTAAACCTGGTAAACCATGAATCCTCCGTACATTTTGCCCACTCGATTTTATTGCAACGCTCCCCCTAGCGTACGTCGCCGCACTATATCGAACGATGACACGTGCCATATGTGGCATCATTCCTATTTTATAACACCTCGCATCTTTCATAATCAACTACACGTACCGCCGTCTAGTTTATAACATCTTGCATCTTTTGGACGGACGGATGGACGGACGGACGGACGGACGGACGGACGGATGGATGGATGGATGGATGGATGGATGGATGGATGGATGGATGGATGGATGGATGGATGGATGGACGGACGGATGGACGGACGGATGGACGGACGGATGGACGGATGGACGGACGGACGGACGGACGTATGGACGGATGGACGGACGGACGGACGGATGGACGGATGGATGGATGGACGGATGGACGGACGGACGGACGGACGGACGGACGGACGGACGGACGGATGGATGGATGGATGGGTGGATGGATGGATGGATGGATGGATGGATGGATGGATGGATGGATGGATGGATGGATGGATGGATGGATGGATGGATGGATGGATATGACTGTACCCTTTAGATCGGGCGGTGGCTAGCGTAATATTTAGAACTGAACGAGAGGTGGCTACATACAGGGGACGCACAACCCACGCCTTATGGAGCTTCGCTCCTAAAAAAGTTGGGATGGTTCTCGAAACATTAGTTCATAACTTGACACGTGTAAATAAACCTTCCAGTAATACGCTTGCATAGAATTGTTTCGCTTCTGCATATAATGTCAACGTTTTCCAAGGCACCGCTGAAATGGTCTTCTTTTGTATCTTGATATTGAAGACATGCAATGGAGCTCTTTCACATGAGTCCCCTCCTCCTGGGCTTCTCGACACCACACAGAACCCCGATGTTTAGAACCAAGATATCTCGAGACTCTTTGTATGTCCACAAGTTGCAACATCCGTCTGCGAATTGTCCGCAAAACTGCAGCGCTGTATTAGGCGTGCATTCGAAACATCGCTTTCCGGCTGTGTTTTGAGCGGACGCTGTCGATCAAGATATTTAATCTCAAAGAAACTGAACTGAATGCCATACAGGCTAAACTGAGCGGGAGGCTTGTTTTCATTTCTGGATCGCCCTTGCTGCAAAGGCTTTATTTGCCCTATAAATTTTTCTTTATTTATTTAGTCAGCTTTACGGCTGTACGCAAGTGTACAATGAATCAAATTATCGGTATTAGCTATGGGCGTTCAGTGACCTGCGCGCCATGCCGTCTGTACATCTGACGTATAATCACGGATATATCAGAATAAGAATCATTTTTACTTCAACATCAGGCTCCGCAACATGCACATATTAAGGGCCATGAGCTAAACGCCACAAAGCCGCTTCACGATGCGCACGGTTCCTTGAATTTGGCGCCAACAGAGAGCAACACGCAGCGGCACTAACATACTGTCATCCTTATACCACAAGAAATAGAGAAATAACAAGATAATCCCATTTACATAAAGAGACGACGTGTTACGCAACACAATTGGAAACACATCTTTATATCTATATACAATGTAACACATTTAATGCATCACAGCGTATAGAACATAACCCTGCTTTAAGCTATGAAAGGTCGGTTGTCACAATACGCAAAAACAATTATAATATATACAGGTTTGTTCTGCTACCGTGCCATTTCTATGCTGTAAATTTGATTGTGTATTGTAACACAAAAACATGACTACCCTCATGTAAAAGCTATCTAACCTCTATGAGGCGGCGAACTTCACTTGGCCCCGGGTTGTTTTCGCGAATGGTGGCGTGCATGCGGCTTCATCGAAAGAGCTCTGCGGCGAGCGACATTCAGTAAGACCTGGCGTGACCTTTCGGTTCATGGTGACTTTTTTTCATGTTAATTGTTGCGCTCTAGCGTATCCACAACAGCCGTTCCGTGGTGATATGAAAGTGATACGCTCTAATTTCATTCGCTGTAGCTAAGTCTTTTCTCATTAAAAAGTTTACAGCAAAAGTCTGCAATTAAAAATACAAGAACAGCAAGAACAAAACTAATCCAGACTATACTCAACTATTGTATTCGCTTCGCTCACTTTCTTTCAAAACGGCGACTCTGTATTGCGAAACTGCGCAAAATGAAAACCAAACGTGCGGCGTTATAGTTTTATTCCCTTTCTATCAAACTTGCAAGCTCCACCGCGTGGTGGTCTAGTGGCTGAGGTACTCGGCTGCTGACCCACAGGTCGCGGGATCGAAAGCCGGTTGCGGCGGCATTTAGGTAAACGTTACAAAACTCAAGGTGGTCGAAATTTTGGGAGCCCTCCACTACGGCGTCTCTCATAATGATGTCGAGGTTTCGGGGTACTAAACCCTAATTATAATTATTAAACATACGCTACATCCCAGGTATAGAGCACTGTTATTTCTTATAAAATTCAATGGAAGTGTTTTCGATTACAATAGCCTGTATATAAGCAGAGGTTCGGGCCGACATAAGCTGCCGGCTATTCCCCCCCTCCCCCTTTTTTTTTGCATAATATAGCAGTCTTCGTAAAATCGTCAACGAGCACAGCTTTTTACAAATTTTCATATATGGGCTGAATGTGCCGCACCTGGTACTAGTTCTTCAACAAAAAGTGTCCCCTGAAGTGATGAAAGTTTGGTTTGGTTGATACGTGGGGTTTAACGTCTCAAAACCACCATACGATTATGAGAGACGTCATATAGTGGAGGACTCCGGAAATTTCGATCACCTGGGGTTCTTTAACGTGCACCCAAATCAGACAACACGGGCTTACAGAATTTTAGCCTGCATCGTAAATACAGCCGCCGCAGCCGGGATTCGATCCCGCGACCTGCGCACGTCAGAAGCCGAGTACTTTAGCCGCTAGACCATCGCGGTGATGCACGGTGGTGAAAGTTTACAAAACACAAACATTCATCAAAACGAAATGTGCACACATAACATCTAAGTTCGCTTAGTTGTTGTCGCCGCCGATCGCAAGTAAATTTTGCTGAAGGCAAAACGGTTGCAATAATTGTCGTCCTGTAGCGTTAGTCGCACGTTCGCCTGGACTGCACACCGACGATGCTTATGCAATCGAAAAAGAACAAAAAGAAAAAAAGGACCTACCGTAGTGCATAATAGTAATAAACGAAGTAAACAAGATGAAGCACGTTAATAACATTTGGCGAATACCGGAACGGAGCAACTGTTATCAGAAAGGTGCGGCCAGCACAAGCTGCCCAGACCGCTCGGATAACGCCGGAGCTTTGCACGCGCTGTTCGTTCTCGAATCTCCACGCCCTGTCTTTTTTTTTCAACCACGCGCATCGCAACGGGACGACGCCTCTATTGTGTTGCAAAACACCTGGTGTTTCGCGTCTTATATAGGCACGGCGGAATTTTCGGAAGCGGGCCTTTAGATGGCTGAGTGGTTTCGAAAGCGTTCTTTCATCTCCAGGAGCCCTGCAGCTTGCCCTCAAAAAAGCCATACTGCGCTCCGACCCTTTTGTGGGGGCCCTATACGGGCCAAACATTCTTCCACAGCGAGTTGCTTTCTTACTTGTTGATTTCTCTAAACCGAATATCTTGTAAAAGCTGTTGGGCGGAGTGAATTAATTTGCGTGGAGCGCGGATAGAGGCGACAAGCGCGCTGTTTGGAAACTGCAGGAGCGACTGCAGCCGCAAGTGCCCTTTGCCCCGGGTCTAGAAATGGAGTACATTTCACCTGGTCGCTTCTTGCAACACTCACATCATCTTATTATATTTCTTTACCTTTGGTGCTGCCAAAACTTTCAGTTTGCCAAGGCATGCGTAGTGTCATTATTATGTGCCGGCGTCAGTGGCAGCGGCTGCGACTCTAGAGCCTTTCTACTTTTCATGCCAAACTTGCACGCAAATTAAACTCTGATAATTTATTTCTCTCAGCTATATATACACGGTATGTTTTTTTTTTATCCTTGTGTCTACTCATGCGAGCGTTGGCAGCTGCTTCTAGAATTTTTTATATAAAATGTGGTGCTGCGCCCCGCCCCGTCTGCCGCAGCGTTCTCATGTTGCCACCGGTTTTAGTAATGATAACGTTCGCTCTTTTTATTTTCCTCTAATTTTAGCAGTATATTTTTACGGGGCTGAACATTTTATGGGGATAACTTATATTCTGCAACTGTTGTAATTGCTGTGTTTTTCGCTAGCATGTATATGATGTATATTGAATTTATAAGTGCTCTTTACATCGAAATGGCATTCTGTAGCATTTCTCTAGTACGCACCGCTCCTACGTGGAAGGAAATTTTAAGACTATTATGAGCACCAGAAAATAAAAGATGAAGTGTATAGGTAATGGTGAACCACGAACTGTAACTCTAACTATATTTGCCGAAGAGCTGGTTGGCATGTTTCGCGTCGTTCCCTGGTTGTGCTATAATGATGTTGCGAAAGTGTGCGCTGCTCATTCGTGTATACCTGCGCTGAATAACCATGTGGTTTCTCGAATATCGCAGTGCGCATGTTACTTTTTTCTTGTGAACCTATCAAAGATGTTTCATTTATGGTTCACTGGCAGTGCAATTTGATGTATAGTCAGTATAAGTAGGCCATGTGTCGGCTGGAGGCTTCTCGCTTCGTTCTTACATGGACGCTTGAATGAACCAGGAAAAAACGAACAAATACCAGAATCTTTTGTAAGCTTTATTTGAAAGTGCTTTTGCATTGTTTATCTTGCAATTATTGTCGATGCTGTGGTGCCCTTGTTAGATCGGCAGTCAGGACATGCTCTGCGCTTTTACTTCCGCATGCTACATGCTTTCGCTTACAGCAGGATCCTATTCTAGAGATGAAACGTATACAACTCCAGAGGAAGTGAATATATGACAAAACCACGGAGAACTTGAAGTAAAAAAGAAAGAACATTTTAATGTTCAAGTCAGAAACGAAGTCATGTAGCGGCAAGTTTTACGAGTCAAGTCTGTACTGCTGTTTTCTTGGTGAGTTGCTCCGAAAACACAAGATAACGCATGAAAGCGGGATGTAAAAGGGCTGCTGTTTGAATATGCAATGTTGAGAATACACGAAAGGGTCACAAGAAGCAAATGAAGTTTCTCAAGCGTGTCTGGAGCAAAGGTAGAAAGAACACGCGAGCGAGTGGCTTTCAAGTAAAATCCACTCAGGTAACCAAACAAACTCGGTCCAGTCCAAGAAATTGAAGTCTGTATTCACACAAGACATTATGCGTTAAGGGCATGCCTAAGTCTAAGTAAAGAAAAAAAAGTTTGTGGCCTCTTTGGTAGAGTCCACCAAGCTGCGGTCACATACTTACTAAGTCAGGCAAATACAGTCAAGTTTGCTCACGAAGATTGTCTGTGTTACGTCATAGAACCTAAGGCGGCATTGAAGAACACAACGCTCACTTGCTATGCCACTGCCTTCGTTTGCCTACGAGAGGCGAACGCTTCCTCATGCCTTGCAACAATTCGACGACCAGCCACTCTCCGTGCAGATGCTGCTGGAGCTCCATTCCCATCGCTCGTCGGCTCATACGGCAGATAAAACACTTTAGGGATTTTTAAAAACTACGGGTAAGATCTGCGGCTACCACCACATATGCGCCAGCGCATTTATTAATACTTTATTTCTTTCCTTTCCTTCATACCTTTCCCTTTCATCTTTCTGCTAACCTTTCGCATTTTCCTAGCGCAGGCTAGCCCATCGCGCATGCGTCTGGTTAACCTCTCTCCCGTCTCCCTTGTTTTTTTCTCCCTTCCTTTGTTCTTCCTTTGTTGTGGATGATAACAGTACTCCTTGTGCCTCGTGGTGCCTTTGGAATTAATGGGTCTTTTATGAAACATTCTCAATAGCCATTCTGCGCAGTGTGTACTTCTTGGGGAAGGGGGAGAGACTTTGATGTTTGTTTCTGCAATCACTGTATACAGCTGACCACTGTTCTTTAAGCTGAACGCGTCAGCATCGACCGCGCAGTCGATGAGCGCCGTATAACAAAGCACGGCGGTGAACTGAAGTGAAATACATGCACGCACGTGATGAACAGTCCTGCGCAGCTGTCTTCTGCGACGCTGTTTTATAAACCGAACAACAGGATTCCAGGAACTGGCGCTTATTGAATCCGCTGTCGACGCTCGCGTATTCAGGTTCAAAGTGATTTGGTGACGGCTCAACCCAGTTTTTCCTGAGTTTTCATAGCGAGAGGTATGATTAGTCTTATCGTTTAGCTTTGTTCTCGTAGGGTTACATCTTTATCATTTAGCTTCGTACGTTTGCGGTTTGTTCATCTGCCCTGTCCTCGGCTCACTATCTTCTCTTGGCTTCGTTCTGTCGACGAGGCCTGGCTTCTTTCAGTCTCTCCGACTCACTTTCTATAAATACCAACGGATACCACTGAGCAACCCGTCTGTGTAACACCGGCTCTTCCTCTGAAGTTTCGACGCTGTTTCACCCTAGTTAAATTACGTGGATCGCGAAACTTGAAATGGATAGTGTCAGAAACCTAGTGCCACAGGTATCAACGCCCGCCGGCGAATGAAGCGCGTCTAGGTGAGGAGGGAAATAACCAAAACTCATATATACTCAATATGACTTCTTTTCGTAATTTTATATATGTAAAAATTAACTGTAAATTTATTTCACGGTCAAGAGGGAAAAAAATCTGAAAGACATTCTTGTCAGAGCAAAAACAAAGACCCCCAAATTTCAATCAGGGTGCCATCCCTGCGGAAAAGCTCGATGCAAGGTATGCCCACAGATGGTCACAACACGTGAATCCAAAGCGAACTTCTCGGATTTCAAATTCTGCATAACTGAAAGCCTTAATTGTGACTCCAGTAACGTAATATACATGCTACATTGCAACATCTGTGGACAAGAATATATCGGCCAAACAGACACGCCATTTCGGCTGCGGTTCAATAATCACCGGTACCACGCCACTTCACTGCCGAAGCTACCTTTATCTAGACATCTGCGCCTGCCAAACCACAGTTTTGAAAATATCAGCGTAACTCTTTTGCAGTCCGGTTTCTCAAACAGACGCGAGCGCGAACAGCGTGAGGCATATTTTTTTTTTCAAATTTCGTACAGTAGTAGCCGGCATCAACGAGGACCCCGGAAAACTCAACTGCCTCCGAGAAGTAAGCCAGGAGCAAATTGGTGACAAAGACTGATAGCTGGAGATCATGCTTTTTTCTGACTGACTCGTACGTGTACACTGTCCTTTTTTTTTTTCACATGCACATACAAAGTGCTTACCTTCGCCTACCACTTGATGACCATTGAAGGGAAACGGACGAAGATTAAAGGTAAATAGCCGACCGACCCATTAACGGGAATTCCTTCCTTTACGCACGCCGCCCGCCGACCGACCCAATACGGGGAAACCCCTTTCTTTATGCACGCCGTCATGGACCCTCCCGGCACCGCGGCGACAATCTTGGGTGGCCCGACACACGTCAAGAACTGAACAGCACGTGATATTAACCGTATGTGGATGTAGACGGACAGTTGGCTTCGTTCTCAGTGTTGACAGTGGTTCTTCCTCTTTTTTTACTTTCTTTCTTTTCTTTCTTTTTCTTTTTCGTCTTTTTTCTCCCTCTTTTTTGTTTTTTTTTCCTCTTTCTAGTTCCCTCTCACTCTCGCAAACATTTTTCAAGGCGAGAGGGACGCGGCAGCAACGAAGTTTGGAAGCTCATGTCAGTATAACTCATCCCCTGATGAAGGGAGGACCCCTCCCGAAACTGTTGGGAATTAAATATATTTATCCTTGTTGACAACGCTCCCGTTGTGCCATATCTCATTGATTTGTGGGGTTTAACGTCCCAAAACCACCATATGATTATGAGAGACGCCGTAGTGGAGGGCTCCGGAAATTTCGACCACCTGCGTTGTGCCATATCTCATATATATATATATATATATATATATATATATATATATATATATATATATATATATATATATATATATATATATATATATATGAAATAGATGATCAGAGTTTCTTCCGGCTACCGTAATAAAAGTTACAAACTTCGAGAATAGTGCAGTATAGGAAACAAAACAATAAAATATTTATTTAATCCTAACAGTTTCGGCTGGTGGACCAGCCTTCTTCGGAGGATGTAAGTGAAATGATACAAGTTCCCGTAGCAGAGGGTCACCCTCACAGTTTAAAGACCCTCCAAAAAAAGAGAGAGAGAAAAAGACAAGCGGGCGAACGAGGTAGCAACAGACAACAAGAAGCAGAAGAAGGAGAGGAACTAGAAAGGAGCGACGGAGA